TTAGAATGTGTAATAACAATATTATGTGAACTATATACATTAAATAAATGATTATGATCTTAAACTATGCATTTAAACCTTTATTGAAATTATACTGTATATATATTAATTAGGCTGTCCAGAATTATGCAATTATATTAGGACTTTTTAAAGACCTAAGGACCCTAGGTCCTTAGGTTTGGACTTGGTCATCAAAGACCAGGTTTAAAGACCAGATTTAAAGACCAGGTCCTAAAGTCCCGGACCTAAGGACTTTGCCAACCCTAGTTTTAATATCTTCTTGATGGACTAGAAGATCTTCCGCGCCGTCTACTTCCGACTCTATTTCTGTTTGCACCACGATCTCGAGGTTCCCTATCTGTACCAGAAGAGATGTTGATAGGAGCTCTTATAAAAGCAAAATCACAATGTAATGTAGAGCCTAGAAGCTTCGTTCCGTTAACGGCGTCAATTGCATTTTTAGCCTCTTTATAGGTCTCGTATTCAACAAGCGCATACCCCTGAATAGTTGAAACGCGTCATTAATATGTCAACCCAAAACGATATGTAAAATCTTTATTATACAGTAGTGATAACAAACCTTAACGAAACCCGTTCTCCTATCCAAATTCAGATGTAAATTCTTTATTTCACCGTAATCAGCAAATTTATCGGTAATTTCATCCTCTGTAGATTCTTCATGAAGACCGACTACCAAAACAATCCATCCTTCAACGGCTGAATTTATTTATATAAATAATAACAATTTTATATAAAGTTTATCTCGTGTAAAAATACTGCGTGAGTCAAAATTTAAATAATAAATTACATCTTTGGGCACGTCCAGCGGCTGCATCTTCGTCAGTAGTAGATTCAAATTGATCATACTTGTCACCAGATCTCACGCCATCTCTAGATTCATCTTTAATACAAAAAAAATTCCATTATCAACCTCTAAGTTAATGAATAAATAAAAATTAAATAATTTTTCCTATCTACCTTTTGATTCGCTCCTAAATCCACGTCCTTTGCGCTTGACCGAAGCCGGTCTAGTATCTGTATGTAAATAAAGAATAAATCGTATAAAAACCTTATATTTAGATATTTAATAATATGCGTGTCTCTAAAAAAATTCAAAGGCAAAAGAAAACAGAATTATATTTGAATCATTCGCGCAACTATTACACGCGATTATTCAAAACTTGCTAGCCTAAATTTTTGAATCTTTATTCTAATAATTAAAAGATCTACCAAAAAATAGGTTTCGGACCTGCTTTAAAAATATGTATAAAATCTTTAATTACCTTCGTCAACCATCATAGCATCTTCATCGTCGACGCCAGTGTTTATGTCAATATCATAGCTTTCAGACATTTGCTTTATATGTCTGTGCGGGATTCTTTTATCTAAAGATTGATCAAAGTCCGATCTACGGCGAGTAGATCGTGCAAAATAAGAATATATTACAAAGTAGAAATTCCGTTTTTATAACGAAAATAATCATGTGACAAATTTCTGACATAGGTTAACTTTACTGTGATTGGTTAAATTTTGCGTTACATGCAGATCTTTAAATTTTAAAAATCACGCGGAAAGGCACGTTTAAATTGGAAAAAATTATCCGGTAGAAGAACTACGAGATATTAAAATATGGAAGAACATTTAGGTTCTAGTTCTCAATCACTCTCACTAACTGACGAACATGAAACCTCACCTATGCAAAAGAGTATACACTCTGAAAATTCTGATGAATCTGAGCCGTTTATAGATGTACCGCATTCAGAAGAAGACAGTGATTACATGGCGTCTATGATGTCTTCGTCACATTCAGGATCAGAAAAATCATTAAATTTGAGTGGTACACTAATTAATGCTGAAGATTATATTACCTCATCAGATGATAGTAGTCTTAATTCAGTGCATATGGGTGAGTCTTCGGAATCATATGAATTTGTCGTGCCTGGACCTGGAGAGAATAGAGAACAAATCCTCGCACCTTTGATTAATGATGAAAATAGTGAACCAGAAGATGAAAATCGAATTTATTCAACACCAATCATTGCAACAACACCTGAAGTTCGACCACCAAGTCCAGCAATTTCAGAATTTACAACCAACTCTAATATATCAGATCTGAGAAGACAGAAATTAGCTCCTAATATTTCAAATATATTACTTGGACAAAATCGTTATGATTTTCAAAGGGAAGATATCAGTTCACGTGAGCTTGTAAGAAGATTTATTCATCAAGAAATGTTGGTCCCATTTTTTCAAGGATTCAGTTGGGCAATTGGAATGCATCTTTATCGTTATTTACGATATGGATTCTCATTGAGGAATTTATGGAGAAATTTTTCTACAGGAATTACGGGAAATACTGGCATCGTTCAAAGATGATTGATAAGTTTGAAATGACCAAATTTAGATTAATGTATTTTATGGACATTATAAATATATATTTGTTTATAAGCATTTTACGGTAGTTAAGTAAATGTTAGAATTTGTTGTCAGAGCTTCAAGTTAATAAATATGGTAAATTGGTAAATAAGCGCCTCATTAAATAACCCATTAATTCGATTCAAGATTTTGAACGATTTGGTTGATCCAGATTGATTGCTCTGAGATTTACTATAGTGCTAACTATTAATCAGGATTTAAAATTGGCTTGCACATATATGCACTGTGCTTGTAAATTTTTTAATGTGCAAGAAAAATAATTCTTTTGCATGTAAACTTTCATATTATACTGTAATAAAATTATTTTACACATCCGTTACACAAAATTGGTTTGTGCAAGTTTTTTTTAGACACTGATTCTAATGTATACATTATATATATATAGAATCTAAACTCATCACCTAAATAACGGTCAAGCGAAAATTTTCAGGTAATGATTTAATTAAGGGATCACATATGGACTATCCAGATGTTTTGTAGGAAAGCTTCTAAGCTAACACTTACAGTATATCCTAAAATACAACTGACATTCTTCATTATACCAAAAATTTTTATTATTTCATATTTTTAAATGGTTTATATTTTTTTTCCTCTTACGCTAAAAACCTTTGAAGTATCTTATTTTGAAATGGATGAAATCAAGTTTGAAATTTGATTGGTTAACATGACCAATTTAAAAAATATATATAGTATTTACTTATATTAACACAAAAAAAATTTTAGAAAGTTTAAATTTAATACAGTAGTATTAATAGCATTTACTAATAATACCTTTAATGAGTTCTTGACCAATAGAAATATGAATAGCTAAACACCTCTTAACGATTGTGTGAATTATGTATCGAAGCACAAAGATAAAATATTTTGATACCAAAAGCTTCATAATTCAAATCTACTTTATAAAATCATCTTTTCAGCTAATTTGCCATGCCAGCCTGGGACATAATACTACAGCTGTTTTCTAGCAAGGGGAGGTTGTGTATAGTGTTTTATTTTATTTATTTTTAAATGCTATGAGACATTCAGCCTTCACCAAAACCAGCTAATTATACATCGGGCACTTCGTTAAGCTCAATAGAGTGACTTATTGCTAGAAAAATAAGTTTAAAAATTAGTTGGTCTAACTTCTTATAACTCACAATAAAAAAGATATTCAATGCAAAAGACTAAGTAAAGTCTTAAACAATTTAATTATTGAGCTATTCATTACACAGTCACTACACATTAAAATATAAATTTAAGGCCAATGTTTTGAGTGATAATATGCTTACCTGAATTTACTGGTTTAGGAAGGTTTTGAAAATCCAAAGATCGACTTGTATAAATAGCTTGTTTATGTGTTTGATAATTAAATCGAGTCGATTTTGCTTGATTTGCTTGAT